GGAACAGGACGTCATATTGGGCTTCGAAAAACCCAGATTTTTCACAGTTTTCCTACATTTTATAAAACAAACTACTAATTGGTTAATTGAGAAAATAAACGACAGATTAATCGACAGTTAAATTAGTAATTAGTTGCAGCTGTTGAACCACACAACCTGGGAGTCAGAGTTAGCGAAAGGCCGACTGACGCAACCTATTTTCACCATCGTTGCAACATGAACATGTGCAAGAAACGTATTCAGAAAGACCGCCTGAAACACAATGAACATCATTTTATTCACACGTGCCATGAATTCACACTTTGACGTATCAGGTGGATCCGTGGACACGTCGGCCATCATTTCACTCCTGAACAGTTTTATCACACGTTGTAGATTTTCCTCCTGCAGGGCGAGTGTTTCTTCTTGAATCAAAGGTTACGGTGTACAGTACCGGCATGTTGTCCCTGTACACCTCCTGACTGCCTGACCTTCACGGTACATGATTGCGTGCCACAGGTCGCGACAACAGATCGCTGGCGTTCTAATGTATTCATCATACTGATGAAATACGCAGCGCGGGTAATATCGATGTGTTGCTGCAGATTACACGACGGCGACCGGTGATGAATTAGTGACCATGATGAGGAAGTGACTGCAAAACGACCTGACTGTGTGGGAACCAAGGTCGATATATAATCCACCGTTTTATGCTTGTTGACGCTTGAGTGTGGTCAGAGGAAGACACGAAACAAAGTGGGGTTTTTAAAAGGAAGCTGCATAATCCTCATTTCACTCCTGAAACCACTTAATGTGACAGAGTTATTCTGGAGGGGATTGCTTCTGCAGGGATTGACTGCAGGCGTTCGTATGTTGCCGGTAATAAGAGCAGAGGCTTGTCGGAGCCTGACGGTGCGATATGAGAAAACACAGGTGGAGCCAGCAGTGTGTTGTGCATTGTTGCTCAGACGAAGGTGATGCTCGCGGGCTGGGCCGAGCTTTGTTCTTCGAGAGGAGGACTGGAATGAGCTTTTAATACGCGTCGCATATTTAGCAGTTTCATTCTTCTCCGAGCAGCACACTGACTCACTTAATCAGGACGAGTTCCTCATGTTGGATCTGCGGCGTGTGGGTGCGGTTGGTACGCTGTAATCGCTTTCAGACAGGGTGGAAATCTCACATCAAAACATGTAGCAGGGACTGCCAGGAGGCTGTTTTCCTGTTTCCATCGGGCTTGTTAAGCATCTGGAAATGATAGCGAGTCCGACATAATGAGGAGCTTTATGAGACATTTTATTGGCTAAAAAAAAAAACTTCTAAGTTCTGTAAAGTTCCCATGATGCCCGGCGAGATGTGCAGGATCGAGTGTTGTTGAAGTTGGTCCTTGAGTCATCAGCAGAAGCATCGACTTCACTGTTAAAGAGGATATTAGCACTTGAATGCCCAGAACGCTGATGTAATTGTCACAGACTGTGTCATTTTAGGTTTTGTTTACTACAGCGTTCGGTCTTGTCATGATTGAAGTGTTTGTCGGTGGGGAGAGGATGCTTCGTCATGTTCACACGTACGCATCACAAGCAGCAGCAGGCGAGCACAAGGTGAGAGAGTCCCACAGCGGGTGAAGAGTTCAGCGCGCCATGACTGATGAGCGGATGCCTCACATCTGACAACACAGATGTCTGCTACGTTTTCCGCCGCCACGCCGACGGACGTCCGACTGATCACCGATCGGTCGGCTGGCGTGCGTTTAAGTCCGGTGGATCAGGGTGGGGCTCCTTAAACAAACACGGCGTGGAGGGATTAACGCGACTCTTAATGGGCGTCATTGTTAGAAAAACAGACAAATGATTTTTCTTTAGGATCAGTGATGCTTCACGGTTGGAATCAGAACAATGATCTTGATTCTCAGTCATCTGTGACACAATATCAGTGTGACTGACAAAGAAAAATACCTCTAAAAGGCAAAGTACACATTTATGTACTGCATTGTGTGTATCATTAATATCCATTTTAGTAATGGGTCATTTAGCTAATTAGCTCTCTGGTTCCCTTACTGTCTCCTCTCTTTTGATTTTCTTCGTCTTTGCAGGTTAAAACAAACCTCTGATCACTTTGCTTTCATGCATTTGATGAGTGACACCGTGAGTAGTTATAAAACACTGGTTCAAGTGAGTCAAACTGATCGTGGGAATCTGTTTAAAGTCCCCAGCGTGTTAATAACGTGTCGTTTGAAACCATCAATCAACTCCTCAGACTGTGAATTTTGATGGCTTTTATTTGATTAGCTCTTAAACTTAGCTTGATGTTTTTAGGCTAACGAACAGTAAAGACAATTCAGTGCTTTGTAATATACAGTGTATGTTTTTTAATGATTTATATGGCTTGTTGCTACATCTCTACAGTTTCCTGTAACCCAGCGCTAGTAAATTATATTGAGAAGTCGTTAAACTCGGCGGCTGGGTCTGGAGCGGACTTGATGACGGCACACCAGTGTCTTTATTTGTTCTTTCTTGGCACAGCCCAGCGACAGACTGATGGCAGCATTAAGATCTGATTGTTTCTGTGATAACTTGACGAGGTGCTCGCCAGCTGCACTTTGTCACCCCGGGGCCTCCATCGTTCGATCGGTGGGGCCACAGATGTCGGATGTTGCTGGAAGCTTTCCAACCAAAACGCTCAGCTGGAAGTTTAAACAACATCTTTCTCGATGCATCGACAGCGAAATTGTTTGGCAGCTGATTACGTCATCGATTTGTGTCGACAGTGACGATTACTTGTTGCATCCGTTGTGATGATGTGACTCTAGTTTAATTGTTAGGCAAATTTATTTATTTACTTTTCTTTTTTTTAAATGATAGATTTGTCCCAAGAAGACGAAGAACAACATGAAAGTCCGGATGTTAGGCCTCATCTATCTCATGTTTTTGTGCCATAAACCAGATTTTACACAGCTCTGGTGAATGGTTGATCTGTTATCGCTGTAGAAATGCTGTCCATCTTTATTGGTTTGGAGGGATAAAGCTGTTTAAAAAGTGACAGTCCTGCAGTGTGGTGTTTACGGTCCGATCACTCATCACCTGATGCAGGACTCTACACACTGATAGGTGAGTTAACTACCTTATCAGGTGAACTTTCTTCCCTCGTAGTTCTCGCCAGGTATCCTGACGGACGCGCCGAGCTCTTTAAACAGAAACAGATTGAAGATAAATGTCGCTGCAACCTGCAGGAAACACGCCCTCTGCAGAACAGGATGCACGCAGGTTGCAAGCTCGCCTGTAAACCGAAGCAACACTTTGCTCACAAGCTGCGTGCGTTGAGTAAACGTATCGCAGACGGTGTCGTCATCGTTGCTGCGTACAGCCACATTCACTACATCGGCCGACTGTTGACTCAGTTCTCCATATCACACTGATTGCGGTACGCTGGATTACTTTATGACTGCACTTGTAAAAAGGAAGC